GAGATCAGTTACCAAGTTTCAAAATTTCCTCTTAACTACACAGAAAAAATTAGAACAAATTCTGTTTAAGTTACTGCTGTAAGATTTCAATCTGTTGACAATAGGAGCAACAGATTGAAATATTACAGCAGTAACTTAAACAGGATTCTTTCTAATTTTTTCTTTTGCTCCTATCTTCTAGAATGTTACCAGAAAGAGCAATACAGATGCAGAAGTACGTGTATCTATGTTTTATAGACTACGCAAAGGCATTCGACAAAGTACATCACAAGGACCTGCTAGAACTGCTCAGCAATCTTGAGATATTCAGGAAAGACACCAGAATAACCAAGAACCTATAGTGGCAGCCAACAGCATGCATTCGCATAGAGAATGAACTCAGTGAATATACAAAAATATAAACAGGCATAAGGCAAGGATATGTCTTCTCACCAGACTTATTCAACCCTTACAGTGAGGCAATTCTGAGAGAACTGGATTTTGGTTGTTCAGTTGACTTGTTTTATGCCATTTAATGCCAACAAAATTTTGAAATAGATTCATAGTGATAGTTTAGTAAAAAAGATGTGTATGTATACATATATATTTCAAACCATTTTTTTTTTTATTGCAAAGTATTTCTGGTATTAAAACCTATTTTTACATAAGTATGAGTTAACTATTTGCCCATAGCTAGGACCCTAACAGGTGCTACCACTCCAGGTCAGGGTGGACCTGGGAACACCAGCAATTAAGAGGGGGTTCCATGCTCCTCAAAACCTCCTGATCAGAGGCCTTGCTGTTGGACATAGTTTATTGTCATAACCAGGATGGTGAGGGAACTCGAGATCCTACCAAGATTCATCATTGGCGGTCACAACCTTACCAACATAAGATATGCAGATGACACAGTACTGATAGCAGACACGGAAAAGAAACTACAAAACCTCCCACAGAAGGTAGCAAGCAAGAGTGAGAAGGACTAACCATAAACTACAAGAAGACAGAATGCATGGTCATCAGTAAAAGGATGAGCCCAAAATGAGATCTGCAGGTCGGGGCAGGTGGATGGCGGAGTGTTGCCTGGGGAAGTTGGCAGAAACAAAACCTGTTGAAAGCCACAACGGATAGGGGGAAGTGGAGGGCCATGATCACCTACATCCTGAAAGGACACAGCGCATAAAAAGAAAGAAGCTCCTATCTTAAGAAAGATGATCAAAACCAAAGTCTCATAAGAATAATCTACATTTACACATCCTAGACTGGAAAGAGTATACCAAGAAAAAATTTCCAGTCTAAATAAATGAGTACCAAACTGAAGGTGGCTGAAGACCCCAAAATGAATGTCATCATTTGGAAAGCTTAGATTATAATTGGCTTCTGATACCCAATCAAGTAGTAGTGAGGAGGGAGGTGTCCAAGATGATCAAATAAATCAATATTGTCACAATTCATAGTCTATCCTATATACTAAGATAAAAGTACCAAAGTTGAAAAACCTCAACAAAAATGGTGATAAGGTAAAAGGTTTTTCACAAACTGTCATCAATTCACAAGAGCACAGAAATTGGGGGAAAAAATCCTGGAAAATATTTAACTGCAAGATTATCGAAGACTATGTTCCTCATGTTCAATCCAACAGTTCTTAACTTTAGTTATGGCCAGGTGCAACAATATAGTGCTACCATTGGACAGGAGTAAGGTAATATATTTGTACTTATTAGCTATTGTTTCAATCACGGAGAAGAATGAAAGGATTGTATGAAGAGAGATTTCTTTTCCTTCTGATCTGCTGATTTATTACTTTAAATATCAATTTAAAGTGAAAATCAAAAGGCAGAAGAAAAACATTGTCTTCAATGAGATTTTTCGGTTTTACACTATAAAAAGAACTGAGAACGAGAGAAGCAATTTTAAATTAATAGCAGGTTAAAATAATTGTTATTGCTGAACTTACTGAGTGAGTGGTTATAAATATAATTTTTTTTTAGTCCTTTTGGAACTGATGTAATGGAATAACCTGCCACCCCCATGAGTGACTACACTATAGGCAGTAACTACCTATAAGTCAATGGACTACAGAGTCTACCTGCAACCTGTTCCAGCTAAACAGTCAAATTCTCTGCCTTTGGGCAGAGAGGAACCCGAACGAGGCTCCATCGAAGGACTTAGAGAACCCATGTTAAACTGGCCTTGTGCCACATGCACCCCTCAGGAGGGGGGTAGCTATATATACTACTTGTGGTCTGTTACTCCTGTCTTAGCTGCTGTCAAACTCTCTGTCTTCGGGCAGAGTCTCATCCAGGGAGGTAGACAGAGCCAATCCCATTTATGCGGGGTCTATGGGGATTTTTATTAGCTGAGCCTATGGACTCAGGCACCTCATATTAAATTCGGCCTTGTGCTACATGTGACTGTGTGGAACAGTTGCTAGATACCGTTTAGCTGAGATCTGTTGAGTATGACTCAGACTTACGCGAAAACTACCGACATTTCAATAGTAGCACTCACTATTGGATTGACTTACGATAACCTTGTGCATAACCGTTACTCTTATTGTAATGGTTTTTACAATAAACCCTTACTTATTTTATCCGCCTTGACTTTCAAGTATATATTCCTATTAGCACGGAATATAACAGGAACTATTATACTTTTGCACCACAACTCAAAGTTTCTTGATTCATAGTCAACTTTGATTTTCAAAAATGTAAATGCAAATCAATTGCTATATTCTTCAAGTTCTTTTATTGTTCTCTCTCCTTAATAGTGTTTTATATCCTGTGATTATTAGTTCTTGAATTTGTATTAAATTGAAACCATATTTATTGATGTTGATTGAAAACAATAGTTTCCGGACATCCAATTTAAATGTCATAATGCAAATTTTAATGTAAACATGTTTTGAAGGAGGGTACAAAAATAGAAGGCCATCCTCTTTTTAAAATACACATCAGATGATAGAAATCTAGGTGCCTCATAGTGTAATGATTAACAAGCTGGTTTTGTAGATCATTCATTATTACTGATATTATCATCACTTGGTGCTCCATATTTGTAGTCTTATGCCCAAACTAAGTTGAATATAATAAATAACCAGATGACAGCAACCTTCTGGAGAGTTCATAGAGGAGGAATTAAAAACCTTCTGGAGAGTTCATAGAGGAGGAATTAAAGACCTTCTGGAGAGTTCAAAGAGGGGAATTAAAAACCTTCTCATTTTATTTATTTATTTTTGTATACTCTTACATTCCCATGACTATGGGTTAAAAATAGCAGGGTAAACTTGGCTCTCAAGCCTAGGGTGGCAGCTATTCTAGAAAAGAGATTACTCTGAATCCAAAACCTGAGAAGACGACGAGAAACTACTCCACTATCTTTCCCAACTATCAATGCAACTGATAGAGTAATAAAGGAAAGGAATGTGTGGAGAGCCATGATAGTCTATGTACTGAAGAGATGATTAAACTTATTTTTCTGACACCGTATATAAATTTAGTTAAGGTTAGAGATTTAATTCCATGACATTTTTTTTTTTTTTTTTTTGAGATCCATTGCACTGCACCAGTCCCCGCCATCACAACTTTAACATCGTCGGGGGAATGTTTTAGATTTTTCATGGAGAAGCTGTAGAATTGTCATAAGAGCGGCATTCATTTTCGGTGAGATGTGATAAAATAATTGTTTGAGCGAGTCAGCAAATGTGACAAGCTAAGATAGAATTAAGTTTAAGTAGCAACGAAGATGTCTTCCGACAAACTTAGTAATTTTTCTTTTTCTTTGTGCCGCATTATTTCCTTGTAATATTTTTGCAGACAAAAGTTTTAAAACCTAAATGCATGATGGAGTCAGCGAGTAGCATAGAAAGTTTTCATTAAAGTTTTGAATCAAAACTTTGATAATAAAATCTAACAGAAATCTTAATTGTTTTAAATATCTTTTAATAAACTTTAACAAAAGTTTAAAAAAAAAAACTAAAAGCAAGACTTTTTGTGTAATTAAACTAAGTTTTACAAAAATGTACTGAATTAGGATTGGGATGAAAAAAGTTGAAAAAGAAAAAACATCCTATCTTTCTTACCACATCTACGCGCAAAATAAAAATATCACCGAATAGAATTTATTTTTAACTTAATAACTTAAAAAGAAAAAAAAGAGCGATAAAAATATAGACATTCATCAGATAAAAAAGTTGCCAAAATGAAGTTATTTTATGCACGTAAATGTCCAAACTGTGTGTAATAGAAGATTAATTTGCTAATTTTTTAAAATTACTTTATAAAAAAAAAAAAAAAAAAAAGTGTTTTTATTATTTTAATAATTTTTTAAAAAAATTATTACAGCCATAAAGGGGAAATTATCCTTAGAAATTTTTAGTTTTTATTAATTTTGTGACCCATCAAAATGATTTGGTAAATAATAAATACTGAATAACAATGAAAAAAAGTTTTCACAATAAAGAAAATGTTAATATTTAGAAAGTTAACAATTAATTAATTTTATCAATCTACTTTTTTTTTTTTATTTCTTTAAAGTTCTAATACTGTGCGTGTCAATGAATAAAAGGAGGTAAGGCATGACTGACCAGCAAACCAAAGTAATTCTTTGGCAATATTAAAAAAAAAATGCATTTAATTCAAATATAAATTATACTTACTGGATCTTCTCCAACCCAAGCCACGATTTGCAACGTATGAAAACATGCAGCCTGTTGTTAAGAGAACACACCAATACAAATTTTGCCGCCCGAAAAACACGCGAAATGACGTCACGAATGAAATTAAATTGAATTGAAAAAAATAAATATTTTATATATATTTGGTTATTATTTTAACTTTAAAGTAAAAATAAATTTAATTGCATGTGTGAATATTTCTTTTTAAACCAAATTAAAATTGTGTTGTTTCTCGTTGCATCGAGAGTTCGTGATCAGCCATTTTATCTCTAGAAGGTTCAGCAGTCGCTCCATGTGCTAAAGCCTGCCGAATTTTCACTCTCTAATTCTTTACTCAATTTCCAAAATGCCAGAACCAGTTGCTTCGAAAAGAGGGAAAAAGTCTGAATATGAAGACAAAGATAAACCAACTCAAATCCGTTTTAGCAATATTACTGCATCAAAAGGTAAATTAATTTAAAACTAATTTCGTTTGTTCGTAACTTCTTACCAATAAAAGAGCTCGGCCATTTTACTATCATTTTTTTACAACCGGCCGGTGCAGCGATTTTGTTTCATTTTCTTCTTGAATTATATAAGTTAAGAATTTAAAACAAGACTATTACATCTCGTATATACTACTTAAAATGTTAGACTACATTTGCATCTACTTCAAAATACTTAAAAATCGAATATTCAAATTTACTTAGTCATTCATTGTACATGTGAGAAAAAATGTTAGGCTTCTTTTAGAAAAAATGAATTCAACTGGATTGATTTCTACCAATCTTTGTTTTAATTCTTTTGCTGGGTTCGTTATGTAAATAATTTAATCTTTAATATACAGCAAACTAAAGTAACCTTTCATTTGTTCTGTTCTTTGCTCATTCTGATTTTATCCCCCACCCCCTCGGAAGCCTGGTATTTTTTTACTACCTAAATCTCAAGAATTTGAATATAAAAAAAATCTATAGCTAAAAGTAAAATAGACTTTTTTTTTATTTTACTTTTAAATCCATATTTTCATTAATGCTAAAACCAGTTTTAAAAAAGAAAATTTATTTTCGCTTACTTGAAACATTGAAAAAAACTACAAATTAATTAATGAAATGGAAAAATTAATAATTCTTAATAAATGTATATTGTCTGATAAATAAACCGAACTGCAATTATCATGCAACAAATTTAAAATTTAAGGCTAAAAAAAAAAAGCTGATTGTCACAAGGGCTTTCAAAAGTATTTACCTCCCCACACTCCATTTGGTGCATTATTTTATTTTTATGTAATCGGTCTATGCAATATACTCCCAAATGTGTTGTAGAATTAAAATTAAATTGAAAAGTTCCGTTCATCCACTGTTATGAAGTTCTTAAATAAAGATCTGGTGCAATTACCTTCAAAAGTTTAATTAAAGTAAACCTGTATGCAGTCTAAGTACCACCTGATCTCAGTGTTTTTATAATATAATATAATATATATAATGTGTGTGTATACACCTTCTGAAAAGCTTGTGTAATTGTGGTGAAAGTGACTATTCAAACAGATGGATCAGTAATTGAGACTGGCTAAGTTATCATTAAGACAAATGAATATAAACCTTTTCTTAAATCAGAACTTGCAATACCACTAACTATAGCACACTCCAAACAGGTGGGGGGGAGTTGTAGAAGAAGTACACATTAGAGATAGGCTAAAAAAATATTACAACTTTAAACATTTCACAGCATCATTAAATCCATTATTAAAAAATGAATAGACTATGACATAGCAAAAAAATCTGAGTTTGGTATCTCTCTTGACTGCCCACTAAAACTTGTGAACGAAATTAGAGAGGCAATGAAGAGATCAATGCTGAATGAGGTGGAAATGAGACTGTTTATAGAATCACTTTAAAGCTACACTTCACATAAAATGTGAAAGGCTCTCAAACACATGGAAGAGATAGTCAGCTGAGACTAAAATTTGGTTCCTGGTGTAAACTTAATACCTCCCAATGAACTAATGAAACATCCCCTCATTAAAGCAGGATGGTGACAGCATCATATTGTAGGAACATTTTTTATCAGTAAAAACTGATTGGAATTGCAACAACAATTGATGTTGCTAAACACTTTAGTCTTCAGAGATTTGAAATTGACACTGAGGTTCATCTCCCAGCAGGACTGTGACTGTAAGCATATGGCTAAAGCCCGTTTTTGGAATGTCCTAGTTCAGAGCTTTCCAAACTGGTATTGTAATACTTTAGTGTAATTGCCTGTTCTTTGATTTATTAGCTAAATATTTTTATTGAATTATATATTTAGCTTGACTAACAAAATTCAAGTAATGTATAGCAGAATTTTTAAGTGTTGCCAATGCAAAAAGTTTAGGAAGTTTAGCTTAATCAAAATCCAGACCTTCATTCAATTGAGAATTCTGTGGTATGACAGATTGCTGTACACCAGTGGAATGTCTTCAACTTCAAAAGAGCTGGAATGGTTTTACCTTGAAAGATAGGTAAAAATCCTAGTGGTAAGATATGCCAAGTTATAGAGATATTTGTCAGATGTGTAGCTGTAATTGTTCAAAAATATGTAAATCAAATAAGACAAATCCCCCTCCCAACTACAAAAAAAAACCCATTTTACTTTCTTATCATAAGACAACAAAATAGGAAGATATGCCAGATGAAAATGTGTGAATACTTGTGCAAAGTCAGTATTTTGGATAATTTATGGCATAATGATGATACTTTCTCAGAACTTTAGACAAGCATTTATATATCTACGAGTTTACCTGTATAAAGTACAATGCAATCACAAATAAATTTCAGCTGCAAATGAAAATAGCTTAAAGGAAATTAATTCCATACCATATTAAGGATTATTTTCTTTATAAAACAATGATGACCATTGCCAATTTTTTCAAAATTGGCATTGCAGGCTATTTTATCATTTACCTTTTTATTACTTATTTTACTTTAGGTAATCTGTTAAAGGGAGGAAACCTGATAAATTTTCTTCAATTTTAATTAACATCTTTAGATATTATTTTAATTCAAGATCTTTGCAACCCATGTTCCGATTTGTTCTTTGAAATTTTCTACATTTCAGTTATTTGTCAAATTTAGAAAGACTGTTGATGTGTCAAATTAGGTAAAAAATAAAATAAAATACATTAAACAAGTTTTAGATCTTAGAGTACTTTAAAATGCTACATAATTCACCTTTCTAGGTGTAAAATATTTGTATGTTTTGTAATTTTCTGATTACCTTAAAAAATTCCCCCTGCCTCTTTCCAAAGTTCACAGGAGAGGAAATATTTGAGGTAGAAATAGACAGTTGATGTTCAATTTTTCTATAGGCATACTAATTTGAAATGAATCCATGATTGATCCATGAATTAAAAAAAGTTTGATATAAATTTTATAAACTCTTTTAGTTATCTATGTAAATGTTGAAACTGCATTTTAGTGAATGAAATGTGTTGGTGTATAATTAAATGGTTTTGAGAATTTAGTTTTTTAAAAAAAAAATCATGTATTAATTTTTCTTCTATGTTTTTAAAAAAAAAAATTATAATTTCTCTTTTTTTTTTTTTTTTTTTTTTTTTTTTCCTCTGAAATTTTGATAGGACCAAAGAATATCTGAAAATAAAATATCTTCTCTACATGAAGCTGATTTATTTAAATGAAAATGTCTAGTAAAACTTTGATAATTCTGATTTTGGATTGTGTTATAAAGTTAAACCCAGTTGTTACCTTTTATGCTGAATAATAACAATAATGATTTTAAAGCCTTAGTTAAGTTACTCTTGAATTGAAAACAATTTGAAAGCAATCACTACAATCAACAAAAACGCCTACTGAATATTTAATCTCATGTTATCAATTTGGGGTTGAATTCAGTTGATTCGTGTTGTTACATTAATGTTTACATGTCAAAATTTTGTAAATTAATCTTGAAAACCCAAGACATGGTTAAAGATTCTTAAAAATCTTATCACAACTCTGATAATCATTTCAAGACACTGAAACTTTCATGTCATCAAGGTAAAAGTGACTAAATTTTTAGCTCATGAAATGACATTGATAATTGCTAATCCAATTGTGGATTGGCTCATCAGTTGAGTATTTATTGGTATATCAAGAAAATTGGAAACCTATTAATGTCACCTGTAAGATCCTTTAATCCATGAATAGGTTATATAAATGAATAAATAAATCACTCTTGTGTACATTCCTTTGGGGAAAGGTAGGACTCCATATCTTCTCTCTCCAGCTATTGGTCAAATAGTAGGATTTTTACCTGGAAAAATAGTTTTATCTCAAAAATAAAAGTTAATGCAATATTCACTCTCCAAAACAAAATTCTTACAATCTGAAATATTTCAGCTTTAAATAACACAAAAGCTTGATAAACTATAAAAGCCAATCAATAAATTATTGATCATATCTAAATAAATATGAGAAACATTCTAGTATTTATTTGAAGATTTGTTGGAATTAAATTAATCTCTGTTTTTTTTTTTTTTTATTCCAAGTTTTATAAATATATTGATTATATTTTCTTTTTAAGCCGTTGCTGATGCCATTCGAACAAGTTTGGGACCACGAGGCATGGATAAGATGGTAAATGCTCATTTTGTTTCTATATTAAAGTTAAATTTAATGTATCCATTAAAGATATACAATCTATGATGTAGGCAGACTCCATTTATATAAAGTGACTTTGTAAAACATTAATTTTTTAATTAAAAACTAACAAATCTGTATCTTTAACATTTTTAATATAGATAAATAAAAAAATTAAAATGAATGTCATAATCAAATGGATTCTGCTATCAAATATACTGAAAACTTGTTTTTATTTGCCCTTTAAAAATATTTCTTTTCTTATTGCTACTATGATGTACGTGTTGGTTGAAATGCTAACATAAATGATGTTTGAAAGACATGCTCTGAGCAGTTTCAATTTGTTTAACTAAAACTGAATGTACCTGAATGCTCAGCAAAAAAATTGCAGTTTACACATATCAAACCTAAATTTTAAAGAACAGTTTCATTTAAAGCATTTTTCTTTTACACAATTTATTATTGGAACTGAAAATGACTACATCATTAGTTTTTTGCCACCACCACCAATTGGGTTTCATTACTATAAATGTACAAGGTAACCAAAAAGTTCTGTCCGTTTTTGATTAGTCATTGAATGAAGTTAAAATATATACGAAATGCGTGTAGCAATTGTTTTCAACAGCCGGAAGTAGGAACATCAGACATAAAAAAACACACGCACCGTGCCCGGCCATCAGTTATAATCTGGACAGCTGTGAGAAGGATGGAAGTGTCTAGAGATCTCGTTCAGAGCTGTTTGCTTTACAACTTCAAAGTTGGCTTAATAGCAGCTGCATCAAGTCACTGCATATGTCAAGCGTTTGGGGATAGTGCTGTGGATGAATATACTGCAAGGCGTTGGTTTCGAAAATTCAAGTCGGGAGATTTGTCTCTCCACGATGAGCCTCATAGTGGACGACTACAGGTCTTGAATGACGGAGTCCTGAATGCGGCCATTGAAGAGGACAGTACTCTAATGTGTGGTGAACTTACAAGACAGTTCAACGTTTCCGATGAAACTGTTAGACTTCACCTGCACCGCCTAGGTAAGACGTACAAACTGAGCAAGTGGGTTCCGCAAACGCTGTTGGCGGTCCACAATGGACAACGAGTGACAGTCTGCGTATCGCTGCTTTCTCGCCACTGTACCGCATCCTTATTCAATAGAGTGCTTACCAGTGATGAAAAGTGGGTTCTGTACAAAACTCCCAAGTGTTCCAGACATTGGTTGTCTCCTCTGGATGCTGTCCCTCACACCACAAGACTGCCTATGCACCCACGCAAGATTATGCTTTGTCTGGTGGACATGTCGTCAAGTGATTCATTATGAACTGCTACCAACAGGCCAAACGGTCACTGGAGACCTATACTCGCAGCAATTGAAACGTGTGCAACAGGCATTGCGCCAGAAGGAGCCAGCACTGATGAATCGCAAAGGTGTGCTTTTCCTCCATGACAATGCTAGGCCGCATGTTGCGCGAGTGGTCAGGGATACCATACAGCAACTTGGATGGGAGACTTTGTGCCATCCACCTTATTTACCTGACCTTGCGCCATCCAATTACCACCTCTTCCACTCCCTGGATAATCATCTTCATGGGAAATCCTTCACCAATGAAGCAGACTTGCGCAAAGCCCTCACAGAATTCTTTGCATAAACATTTAAAATGCTATAGGACATTTTTATTGCTATCTTATTACCTGATCGAAATGGGCAGTCACTCCCTTCCAGTTAAAAGAAATAATCTACATTATACTTTGCCATTGAGAGAATCACACTTTAAGCAAGTGGTACTGAAAATTCTTGGTCTGGCAAAAAATATGCCCATGCCCACCTCCAAAAAGTTATAGTGTTTGATATAGATATTAGGTAGATAGTTGGAGAGAACTTTTCAGTACTTGGATTTTAATTATTTATTTTTTTTCTCTCCCCCTCTTGTGTTCTTTCACTAAAATTTTTGATTTTGATTTTTAGATCCAAGCTGGAAATGGAGATGTGACCATTACTAATGATGGTGCTACTATTCTGAAGCAAATGCAAGTTCTTCATCCAGCTGCAAAAATGGTAAGATGTGTGTGTGTGTGTGTGTGTAAAGTTCAGTTTTCTGGAGATATCAGTTTTATGTATTAGTAACATTTCTATTGCTTGCAATGAAATTTTATTAAGCAATGTTTCCACTTAACAAATTTGCACTATATACTAGCTGTAAATAATACATTTTCATAATAGAATGAAAATGAATTCTTTTATTTCAGTACATTTTATAATTTTATTCTGCAGCTTGTGGAGCTCTCTAAAGCTCAAGATGTTGAAGCTGGTGATGGAACTACATCTGTTGTTGTTCTTGCTGGAAGCTTGTTGGATGCAACTGCTGCTCTCCTTAAAAAAGGTACCTTTTTTTTTTTTTTTTTTTTTTTTTTTTTTTTTTTTTTTTTTTTTTTTTTTTTTTTTTTAACATATGTCCATATTTGATAAAGCCAAATCTCTACTTCTTGGTGTTTGTATTTTACCGTGTTTTAAATCAGAATTAACTTAAATATAGATACAATTTCCTTTTCTCTCTCCTCCACAAAAATACTGTCAATTCTCAAGAAGGGCATATTTTTCTTTGTCATTTCATAATGCTTTTATTACATGACCTAGTTGTGTTTCCAAACTGATAGTTTGGATAGCAGAATGTTTGTTTTGTTTTTTTTTTTTTTTTTTGTTTTTTTTTTTTTTTTTTTTTTTTTTTTTTTTTTTTTGTTTTTTTGTTTTGTTTTTGTTTTTTTTTTTTTTTTTTTTTTTTCTATAATTCTTTCACTGTTTTCACCTTGTACATTTTCTTACAAATAAGTGGTTGTATTTCTTTTATATAATCTGCTTTTTTGTTTAATTTTTTTTTTTTTTTTCATTTCTCAGGTATTCATCCATCACAGATATCAGACTCTTTCCAAAAGGCAGCTACCATGTGTATGGGTATTCTTGAAGACATTTCCTCTCCTGTGGAGCTGACAGATCGAGAATCTCTACTGAAAAGTGCTTCTACAGCTTTAAATTCTAAAGTACATATACTTGTCTACTTAATTTTGTCAATTCGAGATTTTAAATCACAACTTGAAATCTAAACAATTTTAAGTGCTATTATTTTATTATTGTTAAGCTTCTTTAATGATAAACTTTCTTTTTATCTCATTAGGTAGTGTCACAGTATTCCAACATTCTTGCTCCCATTGCTGTTGATGCTGTCATGAAGGTGATTGACCCTGCCACAGCACACAATGTGGATCTTAATGACATTAAAATTGTTAAAAAATTAGGGTAAGCCTAATTTTTCTTGGTATTTTAATATTTTATAACTTTGTTTCTTTAAATTACAATTATTGCTTTTTGTTTAACTTAGTTCTAAATAATTTTTTCTTTACTTAATTTCAAAAAGGTGTTTACTCACTGTATTTCTTTGTCCAGATTAAATTTTATTTTTTATTGCATTATAATATTTTGGCTTCTATACACTCTGGCCTTACTCAAATACTTTATTGTACCTTTTGTTGCGGGTACAGATATAAGAGAGATGGGTTCAGTCAGGCATTCTTGTCCTATACACCCTCACAACCATAATGGTTTATAGGATTTATAATGTTGTAGGTATGTGTATTCATTCCCAATCATGTCGCATCAAGTGTTTGCATAGTTCTAGGATATCAAATGATGCATTTTTCTAATCAGTGGCTCCCATATATTAATATTTATGCTAGGCTTGTTATAACCTGATTTGAGCATAGTATATGTGCTGATTCCTTTAACCATCTTATCTAGTGTTACTTCTTGTCAATTATTTTAACTCTAAACTGTCTTCTAAATATGATTTGCCAGCCTTTTTTTTTTTTTTTTTTTTTTTTTTTTTTTTTTTTTCAAAGTTTTTCCATAGATTACAGTGGGTGGAAGGGGAAACCAACTCTTTTCGCCATAAAAATTAAACACCAGAAAGTTGTAATCCATGGATAGACTCGTATCTCAGAAATGGCTGATCATGTGTGGAGGGTAAAAAAAAAAAACTCACCAACCTCTGGGGTAAAGTTAAAATAATTGCCAGAACCATGCTAGAGAATAAGATGGTTGAAAGAATCAGTATATGTAATATGCTCAAATCCTGCATTGATCAGAATAGAAATGTTAAATATGCAGATATTATGTGTTAAAGGTTTTGGAAGGAATGAGTATGATCCAAGAGTCAACTTTTAAAAAGTAAAGGCACTTGAGGACTGTTCAAATGTACAGAGGTCAAAACAATAACAAAAAGTAACCTCACAAGGGAATTAAGCATATTGCTTTGTTCTAAGTAATTTCCCACAAAGGTTTTATTCTCTCTTGATAATTTTTGTTTGTTTTTGCTTCCCTTGTGCATATGTTGACATTTTTGAAAAAGTTGTAATAGTAAGAAATAATAGGTAAGTCTCTCGGGTGCAGATATTTTAAGCATAAGATCTCCCTAAATTGCCTGTTAATTATCATTGTTACATCTAAGATATTTAAACATTTTTTTATATTTACTTAAGGTATGAAATTTCAGGTATATATTCCAAATCCTTCATAGCAAGATTTAAATACTACTTCATTAGAATAATGTATTTTCTCAAACTTTTCTGTTCTAGTGGCACTGTGGATGACACTGAATTAATTGATGGTCTTGTGTTCACCCAGAAAACTGCTGGCTATGGTGGTCCTTCCCGTGTAGAGAAAGCTAAAATTGGTCTTATCCAGTTTTGTATTTCTCCTCCTAAAACTAATGTGAGTAACTGGAATTTTATTTTACATTTGAGCATAATTAATTCTATCAGTGATCCTTAAACACTTTCAAAATTTATATTGCAAGACTAATTTGTATTTGCCTTAATTTTTTTTTTGTGTTTCAAACAATCAATATTTTAAAAACAATACCTTTTTAAAAATGCTTTTTCTTTTCTCTAGATGGATAACCAAGTTATAGTATCTGATTATACTCAGATGGATCGTGTTCTTAAAGAAGAAAGACAGTACATTCTTAATATTGTAAAGCAAGTAAAAAAAGCAGGATGCAATGTGTTGCTCATACAGAAATCTATCTTAAGGTAAATATTTTCATCTTGTTTACTTGCTAATGGACCAAAATTGCCTATGAAATAATGCACACCATAAAGATCCGCTTTTGCTACAAAAGACAGAAACTATCCTTGTTGCCTAAGAATGTTGTTCAGGAAAAATACATGGAGTTTTTGTAGCTGACTTTAAACAATGATTGCATTTTATGCTCCAGAGATTACTGTGTAGTAAAAAAAAAAAAAAGTTCCATCCAAATATATTTGATGAAAAATATTTTACATTATACAAATTGAATCATTATATATATATATATATATATATATATATATATATATATATCTCGGTTTCACTGCTAGACAGTAAATGTGTCCACTTTGTTATTTTTTGGTGGTGCAAAATCACTCATCACTGGAAATATTTAATGGCGATATATCTTCATGTGTATCTTGAATAAAATTAACATCTTTCATTGGTTTCGAATACAAATTCGGTTATCAGATGCTATGATTTCATATTTGTTACTTTGTTTCTTCATAATGTGCCATAATCATTTTTAAATCACATTGAAATTGCACAGCTCATACATTATCATTTGTAAGAAAAGTTTATTGGTTATTTGGAGGCCTTCTAGAATTGTACTTGCAGATAGGGGAACCACTTCACTACTATAAACTAACATGGAATCCTATACATTCTCTGAAATACTCTGATTTGTTTTTCATTAGGATCTTTGTTAATTCTACAAAACCTTTTCTGGCAAAGTGATGATATCAAAATGTAATTCGTTCATATTTATATTAGATACAAGATTTTTAGGCTTTACACATTCTGGCCAAAATTATCTCCAGTATGCATTTTGGGTGGATGGCTTTAATTTGGATCTTTCTATCATTAAACACTCTTAATGCACTTGATGACTCCAGATTATTAATCTTGTAAAATTGCAATTAATGCTATGTTTTATGATTTTTACCATCTACTAGTATTTTTTTTTTTATTATTTTTTTTTTTTTTTTTATTCTATCTGTATTATTAAAGCTTTTCTTGAATCATGTATATGATGGTGACTTGGCAGGTAATTTTGTTCCAGAAGCTACAGATCTTCTAATGATAGCATCATTCCTTTTGATCTTTATCATAGCTTTATTCAGGCAGAAAGCTCTACCCAAAGATGCTGCACTTTTGCCCTTATGAAGTCAATCCAAAATAACTATCTTGATCTCCAAAGAAATTGATGCTCTTTTATTTTTCTTAGATGTATCAACCGACATTTTGAGGGTAGGTTATGACTATTGTTATCGCAAATAAAAAAAAATATTGCAGAGGATGAAACACAATACATCTTTTGTATTAGACCTGATGCTAATGACTGCCAACATGCACTGGTTACACGCAGTTAGAGGTATGTACAGTGCATAGGTCCGACCCACACTGGAGAGTGGGGGATTACTATATAGAGAAAATAGATTGGATTCTATTTTATTTCATTAAATTGTTACTTGATCATGTTACATAGGTTTGGCATTTTGTTCATTTACTTGCCACTTACAATAAATTTGGTCACACAGATGTTTGAACAGTGTCAAAGTAAAAAAAAAAAGTGCAAAAAAAATAATCTGTTCTTTTTGTTGGACTGTTATTTCAAAACCATGCAACAAGAATTGTGTACAATGAAAGGATGGGAATCTGAAACGGTTTCCATGTTTGCATCCAAATTCTTTTTCTTATTGCTTATTTCTTTACTCTTTTTCAGAGATGCTGTCAGTGATCTTGCACTTCATTTCCTTGCTAAAATGAAAATAATGGTCATCAAGGATATTGAAAGGGAAGATATAGAATTTATCTGCAGGGTACAGTTCTTTCACTTTTTACATTTCTTGTATTTCAAAGTGCTTTCCATGATTACCGTTTCTTAATAGACGAAGATTTCAACTAAGAAATATCAAGTTAATGCCTCATTTTATAATCTGTTCTATGCAAATAGATTAATTCCTTTTAGACAAAAGAAAAACTTTAAAATTTAAACGAAGTGATGTGAATAGAGGTGCTGTATATATGTATGAATTTGACTCCACAAAACTTTTATGTTTAAGTTCAGTGCTATTTATAAGCCTAATTTTCTATCCCTATAGAATGGTGAAAATTTTGATCTAAAATGTTATGAAGTTTTACTGCAAATATGACTTTCAATAATGAACATGGCTTCTACTTTTAACTAGTTAAAAGTAGTAGTTACTGGTTTCATTTCTCTAGATGAAAACTGGTGCAATCTGTTTTAATGATATGCTGATATAAACTCAATTTATTACTCTGGTTAAATTGTGTAATTTCAATTTTATATTAATCTTTTTTATTTTTTTATTTTTTTCGTGTTTTAATGATTATTAGTATTTCTTGTAAGTTAACATATTTCTAACTCATTAATTACTTGGAAAAGTAATATATTTTAGTGGCTATTTAAGATACTTTGACAATGGCACCAGTAGGGAGGGAACCTCTGGAAATATCTGAACTATTGCTCACTGTTAATCTATCCCATTTTCAAAGAAAGTAAGAATCTGTTATACTTTCTTTTTTTTTTTTTTTTTTTTTTTTTTTTTAATTTCAATAAATTTATGGTTATGTTAATCATTTTTAACTTACAAGTTCTTTGAGCTATTTTAAATTTGCTCATTCATACAGGTCTTTATATGCCTGCTTTCTTTTTTCTTTTTTTTTTTTTATTATTATATTGCTTATGAAAAAAAAAAATTCTATTATTAATTATAATTCATGTTTCTTAATTATAGAGTTTAGCTTGTCGCCCTATTGCTAGTTTGGACCACTTTGTACCAGAGAGTCTTGGATCTGCTGAAATGGTTGAGGAGACAGATACTGGAGGTGGCAAAATTGTTAAGGTACAAATTATTTCTTTTTCTTCTCTGCAAATCCAATCAAACTACAACAAATGTTGTTTATGCATATTTTGTATTTAGTTGGCTCTGAATATTTAATAACAAACACTTTGATTTAATTGAAAGGATTTTGTATGATACGAGAGTGCTTTTTAAAGTTCTTTGTCTAATGGCCAAACAGAATATATTTTGGAATTCCGTCCTGGCCTAACCAAGAATTTTGCAGTGCCTTTAATTTTGCATATTCAAAGTATATGTAAAATGAAATTAAAAGCATAAATTATCTATCTTTTGGAGGTTGACCCTTGATAGGTTTTGAGAAATCAATTCAGATCTATCAGTTAATACCTGTGGTTCCATCTCACAAGACCAATGTTTTATTTTGTGTGAATTTACTGCTCTATTTCTATATAACGAACAGATGGGAGATATCATTAAATTCACATACTATAAAACCAGGAGTGTGCATGAACTTTACAACTTGTACTATCAAAGCATTTGGTAAATTTGTGCATTTCAATTCAGTTTTACTGTTCTTATGCAAACTGAAGATCTAATTTTATTTACTAGAAACACACTAGAATAAGAGTGAATATGTTAGGTGTAATACTTTGACAATTTATTCAGTAAATACTTCTTTTTTTTTTTTTTTTTTTTCTTTCTTCCCAGATTACTGGCATTGCCAACCAAGGCAAAACAACAACTGTATTGATCCGTGGTTCCAACAAATTAGTTTTGGAAGAAGCTGATCGATCTATTCATGATGCTCTTTGTGTTATTCGTTGCTTAGTCAAGAAGAGGTTATTATTATTTTGAATTTTCTAAGTAAAAAAAAAAAAGTCTTTATCAATCTTTCAATGTGAACTCTGCTTTTCATTTTACAGGTATTTTATAAGGAGTCATAATATTTACCAAGAATTATATGGGGTGGAGTTTCTTATTTTTTTTAAAGGCCTTCTTTATGCGATTCCTCAAGCAATAACTGTTTTTGTTATGTGCTTGTTATTTATAAAGACTTATTAATACTGCCTGTCTGCTTTTTATAACAAAAAATTTATTCATCATATAGAATATGCTTTCATTGTTGTTCTCAAAACTGTACCTAAACAATTGTTTTCAATTGGATCTTTTCAGTTTTTTACTTTTTCCCTTTGTTCATAAATCTTAGCTGTTCTGTCATCAAAATCCTTTAAACCATTACAAATTTAACTCGGCAGTTTCTTGTCTTGTTGTAGAGCCCTGATTGCTGGGGGAGGAGCCCCAGAGATTGACCTTGCCTTACGGCTGATGCAGATAGCCAGTTCCCTCACAGGGATGGAGCAGTACTGCTTCAGGTCCTTTGCAGAAGCCATGGAAGTTATTCCTTTTACTCTAGCTGAAAATGCTGGCCTTAACCCAGTCTCCACAGTTACAGAACTGAGGAATAGACATGCCCAAGGAGAGAAAAACACTGGCATTAATGTTAGAAAGGTAACATTTTTTTCATTTATTGTACAATAAAAATGAACCAGGCATTTGAACTATTACTTGAATTTTTTTTTTCACCTTTTAAAAATGTGTTGCTATTCTGCCTTTGCAAATAAATTAGAATTAAATTTTAATTTTACAATATTTATGTTGACTATGCCTCCAAAATGTAATGTTGTGGATATCAGTGTTTGCTTCTGATGTCTTTTTCTGTAATTCTCTGAATTATTTTCTGATTATTTTTACTTTGTATTTTTGTTAGGGTGCTATAACCAATATCTTAGAAGAAAATGTGGTCCAACCTTTGTTAGTATCTCAAAGTGCTGTCTATTTGGCAGCAGAAACTGTTAGAAGCATTATGAAGATTGATGATGTTGTAAGTAAACTCAATTTGACTTTCATTTTTTGTCTTTTCCTGTCATTAATTGCTAAGTTTTTGCCTCATTAGATAGTGAATTAAAAGCAAAAATAGGTTTTTAAATGAAATGACAGTATTTAGTTGTGTTCTCCCACTTTATTTTTTAATCTTCAGTTTATTCTTTTAATCTAATCCAATAATTTTAACTTTGAAAATTTAGTAATTTTTTTTTCTCTGGGTTAAACTCCCTTAACAGTTTTGTTACCTATGTATGGGGGGTTAAAATATGACGCATATCAGAACAATGTTCAGCAAATGAATGACAAGTGGAAAAAATTCTGTAATATGTTTTGTCCTTTTAGGATTTAATCGGAATAAAGTAATGTTTTTGTTAATGGAATTATAACTAGGAAGGGTATAAAACAAGTGTCTGTCATAATTATGTACTAACAGGAAACACTAAAATGTTAAACTTTCTAAATTTTTACTTATGTATGAAGTTACAATAACAACTTTTACTTTACTTTTCAGCTTACTTGTGTCCGTTGAACCAGTGTAAGGAAATTTGCTTAATCATTTACAGTTGCCATTGCTCCTCTTGGCTGTGGCATCTTCCTTCTGTTGGGGACTGCTTGTCTATAACCCTACATCCTGCTCTTCTCACATTTACAGGAATATTTACCCTTTTATCACTTTGATGCAACGCTTAATTTTGTGATATTTCCAGTCCCTTTCTGTGCTGTCAGCCAAATGGTGCTGATAAGGCATTGGACAAAAGTCATTGTATGTCATTCAAGAAAATAAATTTGCCTCATTGTTGTACCAATCGGTTCTTCTTCTCACTTTATAAATCTGAGGAATGGCACTGAAATTGAGGGTGGTGGTTGTGTGTGTGTGTGTGTTTTTTTTCCTCTCTATTTTTTTCCATAAAATGGAATACACTTGTTTGTTCATTGCCTCATGCATGTTAAAGCAAAACTCTTTACAGTTAAAAACTTTCTCTGAATTATCTTTTTAAAGAAGACAGTTCTACAAATCATCTTCATGTTATTTAGAATTGAAGTTATTTAAAAAAAAATATATTAATGCATGACTTTTTTTTTTTTTTTTTTTATATATATATGCTTCTATAACTGAAAGAAAATAAATCGGTTAAACATTGGATTTTAATGATTTTTCTTAATTCCTCCTGAATCATTTAAAGCCAGAGTAGAAACTTTGGTTCAAAAATTGTTTTTTCTTAGTTGGGTCAGCCATTTTACAATACTTTCTTCGTAGTTAATGAGTTAAAAAAAAAAAAAAAAAAAAAACTTGTAGCACTATTGGTTTGCTTAGTTGTGTTTTTTTTTTTTTCTCTCCTTCCCAAAATGTTAACTTCCATGATATTAAAATTAACATGCTATTTTTGTCATTAAATCTTTGTTTTTGCTGCCAAACTAAAATGAATGCAAAAAAAACTAAAACAGGACCTGAGTAAAATTTGTTGGGTAGAAAAAAACAAAAACAAATCTGCTTTCTATGTATATTGGGTTCAAATGCAGTCAGTGTTAAAAATACAAGCTAGATCATTTGTATTTTACTGCTAAAATTTATGTATGTAAACATATGGTTGATAGAAGTATGTACATATTCAACCTCTGGGCTGTAATTGATGAAACATTAAGCTGGGGCATAAACAACAACCTTCAGTTTGTGGTTATTAAATATTTTAGTTGATCGTCATTGAATCAATTCACAAAAGCATTTGATAAATTTGAATTATTACTCTTCAATTCTTGATTCACAAATGGGAATTCATTTAAATGAGTTTACTTGTACTTGGCCTCCCTTGAATATTGACTGGAACTTTCTATTTGATATGCTTGACTAATCAATTTCTGTTTAAATTTTTCTTACTGAAAATAGTAAATTTTAAATTATTTAGCTTTCAATTAAAGCTGAAATGAAAGATTCAAGAAAGTTTTTATTTTTAAAAATTCATTTTAAACCTTAAGTATGCTAAATTAATGGAGGTACCTAAAAAGTATTGAGAAGCTGATAAGGAAACAGTAGCGTGTAGACAAACATTCCTGGGAATGCAGTTGAAATGATCAGTATTAAGAAACTTTGCCCTTTATTCAGTCTTCTTTTTTTTTTTCTTTTTTCTTTTTTTCTTTTCTTTTTTTCTTTTCTTTTTTTTCTTTTCTTTTTTCTTTTCTTTTTTCTTTCTTTTTTTTTTTTTTTCTTTTTTTTTTTTTTTTTTTTTTTTTTTTTTTTTTTTTTTTTTTTTTTTTTTTTTTTTTTTTTTTTTTTTTTTTTTTTTTTTTTTTTTTTTTTTTTTTTTTTTTTTTTTTTTTTTTTTTTTTTTTTTTTTTTTTTTTTCTTTTTTTTTTTTTTTTTTTTTTTTTTTTTTTTTTTTTTTTTTTTCTTACTCAATTCACCCCAAGCAAGGCAATAATTAATACCATATAGGCTACTGAAAGTGAAAAAGAATGGGGGGTAAAACTAGGAGGGACTAGAAATCCAATCCTAAACAGAACAAGGGATATGCCTCTGACACTTTTTCAAAAAACTTGGAAGAGTGAACCTGGTGATATTACTATATTCGTCATCATCCATTCCATGACCAGGTGTGGTTGTAGAATTACTGCATGGTAGAACACTTAATCAGCTCCCTCTAATAAAGAACTTTTCTCTTGCAAAGAAAAACAAATTGTCTTTGAAAGCAAGACTAGTGGCCCTCAAAGATTAGAAAGTTTAAGGTATTAGAGATGGTATTCTAGTGGTAATTAACAAACAAATATTGCAGTTGTGTGTGTTTTTTTTTTGTTTTTTTTTTTTTCCTATATTTAAAAAAAAAAAATCTACTTGTGGACTATTTAAATCTTTATCACTTTCAGCCCTCTGACTTTCATCAGGTGCTTGCCGATTTGCATAACCTACAGGGAATTTCTAACTAAACACTTTAATCTATGAGGATAGACTGTTCTCATTCCATTGCCTGTGTCCTGGGATGATTTTTGTTGTTGTTATTGCTTGTCCCATTTCCACAAAGTAAAAAGCAATGTTTTAATCAATTAGGTTATTGTTGGTTTGTGAATTTGGAGACTTTAATAGTGAGTTCAATCCCTGCAGTGTGCACTCAGTGGAAAAGCTAACTCCTCATCCTAGAATTTCAGCCAGAAAGTAATTTGTTCTTTACTATCTTGATAGTCATGAATTTTAATCACTTTTTTATTTACTGACATAGACAAGTAGAAGCCGCCTGACTGTTGGTAAAGGGTAACCTGTATCATGATTCCTGCCAGGCATCAAAATGTTGCAATTATGACAGCTTCTCAATGCTTTTTGAGCACTAAAAACAAGACATGAACTGGAAAGCAGGCAGCCATGGCTTGTAGGAAAGAACACAGCAGACATTTTGATTGCCTCCATACACCAGAATTAATCCAACAAGTGTAGTAGAAAATGATGGAAGACCCAGGAATTGTAGGCTTTGGTGCAGGAAAAATGGGTGTTGAAATTTCCACCCTGAAGCTGGCCTTGTATGAGGACTTCAGCTATCAGTCATACAAGAGGTGTAATGGTCAACTTCTTGCAGAAAAGGCTTAAGAAAACAGTCTGGCTGAAATTCTTAAACAAGGTGAAACCTCCAGTTAAACCAGGGATAATCTGGTTCTTCTCTGATTAAAAGATACTTTGTCAGGATCCTCTGTAGAAGAGACTGATGGTTTTTGGGTGTCTTCAGTGAAAGTGATGTTATGCTACCCCACATCTTCAAACAGGGTCTCTGGCTCAATTTGGATGGCTATGTGGAGTTGCTTAACACCTTGGTTGGAGAGGGTGGATGCTGGAAGACCATATGTGAGCACAAGATTCAGTTCCCTGCCACAGTTCCAGGAAGAGTCAGAAGTGATTGTTCAGATAATTTTTACAACTTCACCAGCCCCAATGTCTGGCTCTCTATCCCTAACTCCCCTGATTGTAATCCCATGGATTATGTGAGGGTTGTGATTGAGAAAGACACCAACCACACTGCTTGTAGCACCAAGGCCCAGCTAATCAACAGGATTAAGGAGGTATTTGAGGTTCTCCCTGTGCCAGATTCTGGAGTCATGCTTCTTTGAGTGAATTGTCTTTTGATTATTATAACCTGTATGCCACTTTTCTATTTTATCCAGTAAATTGATTTTTGGCATAGATATTCAATTTTCCTCAAAAAACAAAACAAAAAAAACTGTCAAATTTAGCCTGAATACCCTGTATTTATTCTATCTGCAATTTGTGAGCAAAAAGCAAAACTACTTAATGAATGAACTTGATCTATTAATTTTTACTTGTTAAAAACAAAAACTAATCTAAATGAATACAAATTTGAACAAAGCTATTTTGTTAATATTATGAGCATTATATGACTTGATCATTGGATAGGAAGTCTCTAGCTGATTTGTTAATTTTCCATACCAAAAATGTGCATGGAAGTATCTATTTTTACAAGTTAAAAAAGTGTTTATTTGCAGAATAAAGAAAAGACCCCCCTCACAAAAAAAATATTGAATTTTGTTAAATATTCAATCTATTTGGAATGTAAATGCTTTTATTATCTCCCTTTAAATAAAGTTACTTGCAATCAAAGATGTCCTCTCTTTGGTTAGCATTTATAGCACATGATGTTATTTAAGTAATTATAAATTTAGATAAGTTAAAGATCTGAATGAGAACAGTTTTTCTGGCTTTTTACTATGTATGAAAATAAGACTTCTAAATATACATAAAAATATAGAAGTGTCTGGTATGAGATTTATTTCAATGTGATCTTCAGATAAAGTGCCACTATTTCTTTACTGGGTTAAGTGTATATATATATATATATATATATATATATATATATATATATATTTAATGTCAATTTCAAATGTTATTTTTTGTACATACCTGTATTTTAGACTTTCATCACCTGGCCTGCACACTCAAGAAAACTTATAAAATACAATGTACTCTTAGGTAGAATTCAAATAGGGGAAACCACCATTTGATCTGGCTGCTTTAAAAGCACTCACTCATTCACACTTCTTGACAGGCATATCTGCTGAGTTCATATCCAAAATGTCAAAGTAAACAGGTATCCACTAAGAATAATGTTTCAAGTAATATAAATAGATATAATTTTATTATAAAACTTTTTTTTTTTTTTTAGTTGATACCTGTATTTGAAATATGCACTCCATTCTTTTTTATTTAAAGAGAGTATTATATCTATCACCCTGTACTCACAAGAAATCTTAAAGAAAATGTGTGCTCCACCACCAGAGTTTGATACAGCATGCCACTTTCTGTGACACTGATGCTGTGAGGTGGTTAAACATTAATTCTAAGCAGAAAAAGGTTAAGCTCCAAAATTAAATATAAACTAGATGTATAGAAAGAGAGAAGGGAAAGCATTTTCCCTGATAATGTGAAACTGAAGCAAGAGCCATCTGGGTTGCCTCAACCATACAAATTGGGAGATGTACCAAGAGTTTACTTTTTTTCTTTTTTTTTTTTTTTTTTTTTTTTCATCTATTGAAAAT